GCATTTTGTTCTTCACCTAACATAAAAATATAGCTTTAAATATTTAATGACTTATATTTAAATCATCTTACCTTATAAAAAACTTAGTCAAATAAAACAATTACAGAAATATTAAAATAAATCACTTCGTTAATCACAAAATTGGACGAATATTAAAAGCGAAAACTAAACACGTGCACACCCTGCTCTATGTAAACAGAGAGGTCAGGACTCGTGCTGACGTCACTAACTTGCCATTCCTGGCTAACATTGTAGAATAGGGATCTGGCTATCCTTGTAGTATATAGTCCTTGGGGCGATACTACGTAACGGTTTTATTGAAGGGGCGACGATTCATTAGAGGTTGAGAAACACTGGTATAGATGAAGTAGAAAAATAAATACAGTATATAGAACCATAGAATTCTGTGTCATCTATAGATTTCTAGAGACAACTTTTGCAAAATTTTAAAAAATTACTCTTTTGTATGATTAATTAATTTCTTTAAAAAGACATACAAATTGTAAAAATATTTTAATGTAACAAAAATACACACAACATTTATTCAATAAATGAATCTAAAATTGATTCTAAAGTATTTCTTAACTTGACAATAACATCAAATCCTCTTCCTTCCTCGATAGCTAATAGTATGTCTTTATTCATACTTATTTCTCCCAGTTTTAGTTTTTCTATTATTTTTGGACGAGCTCTGGCAACGCATGTCGAAAACGTTTTTAACGATTCTCTATCTGTATTAGAAACTAAAAATATTTCTAATTTAAATATAAATATTGCTACTACCATATATAGAAATAATAATTACCACGTTCTCTCTGAATTTTTTCACTAATTAATCTTCTCAGTATTAAATCGATTTGATGAACGGCATTCGTCGAGCATATTTTTTGAGAGTTCACCTACGTCAATAGTCACTTTTAACATTATTCGTTAACGATAATTTTTCCATCGCAAAATGTTCGTTAAATCTTACCTTCATCGAGTCGTCGACGACGGCTGGAGTCTCGGGATTCGTCAGAGCCTTATCGAAAACGTCCAAAACCTTGTCCCTGTTTGAATACCTATAATTTTCACTTCGTTTGCAATTAAAAATATGATAAGGTCAATTTTGCAAATTATACTTACACATGATGATCACTCGGTCCATTTTCTACATTAATTATAATGGAGTTCTTCTCCCATTTGTTGATATTTACGTTTGGAATTTCTATTTTCTCGGCCATTAAAAGAATGGCGTCATCGCTAACTCTTTCTTTCCTTTGTAGATTTTGAGACAGAGCAGTTTCTTTCGAACAATCCAAATAAATCTGGCAAAATCCCATTTGTACTATTAAGTAAAAATTAAAGTATTATTACTTTAGTTCAAAATTTTTATTTGCATATTAATAATGTTAAAGAATTAAATTTAAATACAAATTAAATTCATAAAATATTTAAATTTCTAGCATCTAAATATCTAACAGAAGAATTTGATTTGGGAATGTTTTCGAATATTTTATTTAGTTTTACCAAAGACGAATTTAACAAAATATTACTCATGAAGACCACACTTTTCCAAAATAAATATACAAAAACTTTGTGCACATTTGTTTCTTCTACAAAGATGGAAAGACCTGGTGAAAATTTAATAAAGTCTTTGGAAATTAAACAAAGAAATAATATATAATAAAAATAATTAGAGATTTATTAGAAATTGGATATGTTGCATGCAGTTTTTGTTTAATATTGAAAAACATTTATATTAGCATGTATAGCTTGTTCTATTAAAAAAATGACCAAAATATTTCTTCCTAGAAAATGCAATTTTATCTCTCAAAATTTAATTTACTTTAGAAAGTGACTAGATATTTTTTGGATGTCTTGAGTGTTTTTGTAAAGTATTCATTTTACAATATGTGACATGTTGAATTGAACAATTGTAAATACTATATTATAAAAAAAAAATGTGATTTGTGAAATCCTAGAAGTGATGAAAAAAAAAACAGAATATTTACATAGTTGAAATGTAGGTTCTTTAAATATAATTATCACCAGTGATTAATGTTATAAATTTTTAATAACTACATTTTCACATGTATATCTACCAGAATACAAATGTACATTATAGTAATTCTTTCAATGGATCAATCTGATATGTAAATGAAATCTTGTTTAATGTAGAAAGCATAAATATTTGATCAGTGTGAAGACAAACTGCTATTGTATTGCAATTGATGATAATCCCACATATTGATATAAATTATTTCTCTTCAATAGCCATTCTGTAACTTTGGATGAGCTGTTCAAACTACAGACTCATCCAAAGGTATATTTCGTCTTTCAATCATACTTCATTGGAATGTGTATAATCTGCTTTCATCTATGAGTAAATTGCAATGTTCTATATTGTATTAAAGCATCATTTCTTTACTGTTGGAAAGCAAACTTATTCATTCAACCCCTCAAGAAATTTTTTTATTTTAATGGGATGATCTTCATCTCTGATGGATACGATAATCACACATCTAAAAATTGCATTGTATCTACATTTGAGGTCGACAAACTCAGTCGCCTTGACATTACTTGGCATATTACTTGGCAGATATATTTATGCAGTTTTGGTCAAATCACTGCAACTAATTATTAAAAAATAAAGCCAAAAATTTCTTTTGACTAAATTTAATACCATTGATGAATTATTTTTAATATTTTTCAAACATCCCCTAGTTAATGCAATTTTCATATGCAATTAAGTAAATTTTATACTTGATTTAATGAAAATTTATCATTTTAAATCCAAACATGATTTTCTTCTTAATCTACTTGAATTTTTAAAAGATTTTTAATAAAAAACAAAAAAAACTGAGTACGAGTAAATTAATATAAATTAATTACTAAGAATAAAAATATTTTAATTTATACTAACATTTTCTAGCTAGTTGGTACCATTCATACCTCATACTTTGATAATAAAAATTATCTTCAATTAAGAACACATTACAGTTATATGTTGTTGATTTTCTATTCATTTGAATTAACTTTTCCAAGTAATTCTTTACATTGTCAGTAAGGGAGGTACAAGATGATTTTAAACCAAGAATATGATAAAAAAAACATTCAACAGCACAAAATATATCTTTTCTACATTTCTTCCAAGCACCAGATTCATTGATCTGAAAAATATAAAAAAACAGATGTATTACAATAACATATTTGTTAATATTTATTCCATAGAAGAATACTGATTAAAATAAACTTAAATAACTTAAAGATGATATTATCAAACTGTGACAAGTGTAATTGTTAATATTCAGGACAAAGTATTTTAACATATATAACATAAAATATTTTTCAAAATCTTCAAGATATTGTTTATAATAATAGCTTGATTATTATATGAATATTGGTATATTCAATATATTAATGATTTGAGAAGTTCAACAATTGAGTATTAGATTATGATAATATTTTATATTCTGTATTGGTATCTAGCATTTTATATCATAATCAGTATGTCTTTTGATCCGACTTTTCACTTGTATAAGTGTTAAAGAAAATTAACATGCTTCAGAATTGGCACATTTTGTCAAGCTTAGGAGAAACCTCTTCTCTAGATTGTACATAAAACCAAAGTTAATATTCTCCAGATTCTCCATTAGCAAACTATGCAAGAGGAGATTATGTGATTATGTGTTTTGGCCACACACCCCAACTCAATCTAAATGATAATAATAATAATAATAATGTGAGATAATTGATATAATATGAATACTAGATTGAGATAATCTAGCTTTAATGGAGTTTAAAAGAAATATTAAACATAGGAACTATGTAAAGACAATGTTAAGTCTTGAGATTGAAAAGTCAGAGGAAGAACTATCTCCTATGTAGATCAAAAACATTTGTATTTTATCTGCATTAAACTATGCTGGAATCTCATTTATAAAATTCAAAGGTTTGCATTTTTTACTTTATTTCAGTCTAAGTGTTTGAACTCAAGACTTATAGATTATTGAGATTTATTTTGTTCTCATATGCATATTATATTGTTTTATAAAATGTTTAAACTTATTTGAAAATCATTGTTTTTTGAACATAACAAATCACACAACTATATGATTGGTGTGGTTAAGAGCTCATACAGACCCAGAGAGGTAGTGTGGGTCCCGTTTGATATTTTTCTTTTTTTTTGAATGAAATACATAGAATGTTTCTTTATTAATAAAAAGCAGCCTTAAAGATTTTATTTTCTCTTAGTAAAAATGATTTTTGTAGCGATAGGAACCACTACAGACCACTAAAGTTTTCTCTAGACTGGGAGAAAAATTCCCAGCCCTCTCTCAATGGCCCGAATACAACAACAACACAACACACAATCAAAATTTTCTACACAACTTATAAATTTCTTTCATATTTGATATCATTAATTTATATATAGGTATAGGTATATATATACGTAAACACTAACAAATATTCAAGAATGCTTCATAATTCTTTTCTCTCCTATTTGTTAGCATCCAGAATCCAGTTAAACTTCTTTAGTTCTAAGCTCCACGGGGTAAGAAGAATCTTCGAGTTACGGACAATTCAACTTAGAGAACAATAGAGTAAAAACTTCCAATTTTGAATAGATTTGTATTTTTATCTCTCTTGCATTATATAAAGAATCTTTGATAGTTATTTTTATTTTTTTTTTAACAGCCCTTGTAACACTGTTGGCATAATGTTCAATATAACTAATAGAATCAAACAGTTTTGTAGGTACTGTACATCTTGTTGAAATAAAGTAAGAGGACCTCTCTCTTTGGACTGGAACAATGTTTGAAAATGGGTGTTTGAGAGTATAAACAACTAACTGTGAAAATTTCACAGGAAATCCAATAATTAGGATCACTTTGGATAGAATAAATGTTAAAATTTGAGTTGGGGAAGTTGAAAGTAACAGAATCAATGTCAAGGATCACAAAAAACTTCAACTCAGTGAAAATTTGAGTTAAGAAATTCAAGTCGACATTAAATTCCTTGCTATTCTGTCAAGACCTACCAAGTGTTTCATTTTCTTCAACAGGAAATATTCAAGTTAGAGAAGTTTTACCTTATTTTGAAGTTTTCCAATATAATGTGATAATTTGTTTCCAAAACATTACATATATTTAACGGCGTAATAAATCGAGTACAAGCCTAAATCCTAGAAAACGGACCCAGATAAATAATTTATTTTGGTTTCAATTTCTGTTTTAGAATGAATATATATACTGTAGTCTAAAAATTTGCATATTCTAATTTTTTTTATAAACATTCTAATTTAACCATTAATTAATGGCAAATATCACTGTTATCATTTTAGTATTGGCCAGTTTGTTTTGAGAACAGTAATATTTAAAAGTAAAAACTTTTTCTTACGCATGCCAATTTAAATATTTTTGGTAAATTCTCAAAATTAAAACAAATTATCATAAAAGACATACAAATTTCAATTTAGATAATGTTTCATTTCTTCTCGATCACCAATGTGTGACAGGAGACTCAAGACAAAATACGTTGGCATCTGCCGTCTGCAGATGATATCATGGTTATTGAACAGCAAATTTCATCAAAAGTCAGAAAAGTTAAGGAAAAGATCGAAAGGAAGAGGCTTAAAGATTAGTAGAAAGAAACAGAAAAATGGATTTAGGAGAAGGTGCTTCTGAGAACAAAGTCTATGTGAAAGTTGAAGAAGCAAGAGCGAAAACTTCAGATATTTGGGGTCAGTACTCTGGTAAGCCAAAGAGATTAATGTAGACATAACAAAGTTGGTCACGGCCAGCCGGACTAAACAGAGAGATCAGCAGAGTACTTTGTGACAGAAAAATGCCTAAAAGATTAAAGGGAAAATTTTATAAAAACGATCATTAGGCCTGCAACAGTGTACGGTTCGGTGCCAGGCACCAAATGCTGAAAACGGCATATACGGACAGCACGCCTTGCAGAAATGTGGATGCTGAGACAGACAATCAGCATCACAAGGAAAGAAGAGGCGCGGAACAGTTACATCGGGGGAAGCTCGGGCACAACAGAGATGGAAGAAAAAAAAATCAAGGGGGGAGTCGACAGAGGCAGTTCAGGCACGAGTGGCGCCAATGGAGTCCCGGGAGGGTCAACGGATGGGGCAAGGAGAGGAAAACCCTGCACAAGACCCTAGGAACCCGGCTGAGTCTGCAGAGGGTAAGTAAATGCCCTCCAAGCACCTACAGTACAGAAAGGAGAAAAAAACCTTTAATTTTCAAAGATGGAGTAATAATTGATAAGTTTCTATTTTTTTGGTATGTTTCCATCAGCATTTTATAATTTCACAAAAGCAGAAAATTTGTACTCTAAAATTAATTTCAAAAAGACCTCAGAATTACATGGAAAAAGTTTTAAGTGATCTTAAATAAGCCAAAAAATGATTAAAACGTTTTAAATTTCTATAGTCGGCAACGGAGATAAAATCAAAAGAAATCGACGGCAGACAATGTAATTTTTCATAAAATCGTGGCAGGCTTTAGAAGCATTATACACAAGTGATTGGCCCGACAGTTACTCGGATCTGCAAATAAAAATTTGAATAAACCACAAATGTAATTTGAATCTTATACCAGTTCCTTCTGGACGGAAAGGGAGACCAATCGGTCGAAATTAATCCAAAATAAGTTAACGTAAGGTAGAAAATCGGTGCTAAGTTCGACGTGGTTCTTTTTCTCAGACCGTTTATCGTCGAGACGTCGAAAGACGTTTTCTATCAAGAACGTCTTGCCGCTTCCGGGAAGGCCACACACCAAAGCCACGGCACTCCGACACATAACTTAAATGTCGTCGACGTGACGCAATACTTCAGCGTCGGAGGGCGTGACGAATTTTTATTTTTTTAAAAACGTCGAACTTTCCGAGTTATTCAATTTTTAAAATAAACGCGTATTTTTTATTAACGAACTTAAAAATCTTTTTTGTTTATTTATAAAACATTTCGTATAACGTTAAACGTTAAATCACTTAGACTTTCTGGATACAAATAAATAAAAATACGTGTTATTTCTGTTAAATTAATTAATTAATAATAATCGACGTCATAGAAATATTAATATAGCCATTAAAATGATTTTCGAAACGAACGAATAAATTATTGTTTTAAGTAATGTTTATATAGAAAACTAAAAACCGTACCGATATTTTAATTTTTTAAATTTATTACATAATATAATTAATATTAATAATCAAAGACTTTTGGAAACCGTTTAATTATATTAACTTTGCATGTGAACGAACGATGACGTTACGTTCGTTCACATGGTTCTCCGCGGGCGACTCGGTGGGATTTTACATCGAGCACGTTTTTTGTTTTTGTGTTTTTCTATGGATTGGAGATATTTTAAATTGTTAACGTAGACTTATTTCGCACGAGGATTACGGGAGCGACGTTCATTTTAATTTAAGTCGTCCCGATCGCTTAATTGGCCTTTCTTTTTTCTTTACTCGGGTCGAGTCGATTAAGCCTAAGTCGTATTAAAGGTGCCAACGTGGTCGCTCTCGCTCGTTTACGTCGATTTCGTTTCGAAGAATAATTCGGTTCTATCGTCATGTCGTCGGGATACAATTTAGAAGAATCGAACGCCGACAGAAATGTGGAAATCTGGAAAATTAAAAAGTTAATCAAAAGTCTAGAAGCTGCCAGAGGGTAATTTTTATAATAATTTACTTAAAATGATTAAATATTAAAGTAATACTGTAACTATAAAAAATCACGGTTAACTTTTACCTACGTGCAAAATCACTATAGCTTTAATTTATCATATCTCGTTTATATTTGGTTAATTAAAGTAATTGTATAAAATATGCTCGGTTTGTAATTATTCATAATTCGCATTAACGTTACGTAAGAGGGGAAAAAAATTTTAGTATAAAGTTTTTCCTTTTGGATAAAAGTTTAATGAAATTATGTCTGAAACAATCGAAACTTTTGAAACTAGTTTCCATTGTGTGGTTACCAAAGAGATGTTACCGACTCTATTTAAAATATTTTTCTACTTTAATGCATTTAGAAACATATTATTGAAAATCTGAAAATGTCTGAACATTTAAGTTACGAACGTCGAAAAATAGGTAGTGTTAAGTCTCAGATCTGGACTGTCAGGATCCCTTTGGAGCGATGGATCGTGGAATGAATCGTGGACCCGCGGAAATGAAGAAGTCTGGTAATCACGTGCTTTGTGTGCGACCCTTTGCCGGAATCAAGTTGCCCACTCGACTATTCTCAAGACTGCTCACATGGGCTTGCATCAAATGTATGCGGAACATAGAGAATGGGTGGCATGCTTGTATGTGGTAAAAACTGGCCTTTGGAGATGAATGTTGTACATAGGGTCATGCATACAGGTGTTCCTTTGACGCTTTTGCTGGCGTGTGAAGAATCTATGATTCTGAATGGTGGGAAACAACTTGTTTGGAGTTTGCTGTTAACAAGAAATGCACTTTTTGAACTGTAATTAGGTGAATGGCATTTGTAGTTGATTTTTTATATCTGTTTTGGACTTTGATATTTTTATTATGATGTGAAGTAACATAAAAGGCAAAATTTGTATAGGAAAGTAAAGTTTATTCTGTACTTGTCGTGAGGGAAAAAGCATTTTTTTATTTGACCTTTGTTTAAGTTATAAAAAAAATAATTTGATTACGGTGGTCGGCATATGAGTTTTTCTTCGTGTAGAGTCTCAGGGACATGGTGACCGTGAAACGATGGGTATTTTGTAGATAATGTGCACCCAGAATGCAGGGCCCTCATTGTCTTCTAAAGACCTGGTGGTGTCTTGCTGTGTGATCTACTACTGGAAGAGGAGATGTACAATAATTTTTTCCATTGCCCTGTTATTCTTGCATATAATTGAGAATGGAGTCTTCTTAAGAAGCTTCTGAGAAGACAGATTATGCACGAATTTGGCTTACGTGGTTGACTACTGGAAGCGGTTGTCTCTTTTTGCTTAATGTGTCGGGCAGTGTGTGAATTTTGTTTCATTCTCTCTTGCTAAATGGCAGCATAAATGGGATATGCTGAAAACAGCTTTGTGACTGATCTGTTGTTTGCCGATGACAGCGCTCTATTTGCCAACACTGACATTGAGGTCACCAATGCTCTCTCTGACATCACTCGTATCGCCCAGTCATATGGTCTAAAAATCAATGCAGATAAAACCAAAGTTCTGGTCACAGATGGATCGCAAGCCAACGTTCACCTAAATGGAGTCTTAATTGAACAAGTGCAAGAATTCAAATATTTAGGATCATTAGTCTAAGAGATGAAAGTGTCATCTATCTCTGATGTCAATACAGTAGAACCTTGATTATCTGCCCTAATTGGGGAGTGGGGTTGGTCGGATAACCGAAAAGTATGAAAAAATCCATTATTAGTGTAGTATATTATTATATCCCATGTAATTAGTATATTAGTATATCGCTATTAACCTATTTTGCGTTGAATTTTCATCGATGTTAAGCCTAACAAAAATTTTTTAAAATAATAATCGTTGCTATTGTAGCGCCACATCACTAGCAGACATTTGAAATTTGCCGACTAGGACGGTCGGTTGATCGGGGGGCGGATAATCGAGGTTCTACTGTAGCTGTATCAGTTAAACAATCTTGGCATTCGCCTCACTAAAATGGTGTTTATGGCAGAAAACTATAGCATTGCACTTAAAACTAAAATTCTCCATATTTTGGACGTTAATCTTACTGATTCTTCTCTATTGATCTGAAATGTGGACTTTACTCTTGAACCAGATCTGAAAAAACTTGAGGTTTTCCAAATGCAATGTCAGCAACAGATCTGGGGTGTTACCATTTGCAATCGCCTATAAAATGAAATTGTTCGGCCCTACTGCAACAATCAGCAACAGTTGAAGAGACCATCCAACTGAAAAGATTGAGATGGTTTGGTCATGTCTGTAGAACAGATGCCAGCCAGATACCATATAAGATGCTCTGGCAGAAATATCCTGTGGACTAGAAAGTGTGGAGAGAAGCACCTAAAAAGACATGGTCCAACCAAATCAAGAAGGATTTTCAAAATCTGCGACTAAGCCTCAATGATGCCAAAGCTATAGCCTTAGACTGAAAAGCATGGAAGGCCATTATTAGTGCTGTCCAAATTCTTGCAGCACCTACAGCTGTGTATGAGCTCCAGAGGGAAACCCATCCCACTGCTAGCTAAAGGATGAATGATGATGATGAAATGGCAGCACAGCTTTTCTGATAATGACTGTTGTTCAATCAGAATTTTAATTCATTTATATTACAATAAGTTAATTAATGATGTTTGCATGGAACTGCATTCTCGATCCTTTTTGTCTTGTTTAAAAAGTTAATATTGCACATTGAAGCATATCTCTCAGAATAGCAAAGATTTTGCACTCGATATGTGATTCGTGTTCTTCTGAAGTTTTTGGGTTCATTTGATATGCTCAATATTTTTACAAAAGAAGCCTGGTAAATATATAGATAGGTCCGTGGAGAACATGCAAATCGGTTCCTTTCTGTGGTACTTTTTGTGTTACAAATATTGTTGAATTTAAAGGAAAACATATAAGATACATGTCCTCAAATACCAATTCAAATAATATCTGAGTAAAATTTGTATATGTTGTTGTTTAGTTGTAATATAACTTAGTAGGTAGGTTAGCACTGCCATATTTCTACAACTGGGTTAAAAAGCTAAAAAAATGAAGATTGCTATTATTCTCCAATTTCCGTTCCACTGTCCCATTTGAAAAGTAAAATTGAAAGATTTTTAGTTAATAACTAAACATCTGGTTAAATTTATTGATTTGATTTAAAAATTATAGTTTTTATATTAACTATGAATATTTACAAATTTTAATTTAGAATTTTAAATATTTAAGGTAAACCACATCTTTTTATGGAGAAGGATATATGACATATGCCTGTGTTGAAATCTGGTACTGTTGTTATGAAACACTGACATCAAAAAATAAAAATGAAGGACACATTGTTCAGTAAAGGATAAGGACAGTTTAAAATATGGGATTGTCCTTTGAATTCAAGGACATGTTGATCCTAGTTTTGGGCCACTGTCTGTAGTGATTAGAAATTTTATTCTGTTCAATTATCCAGCTTGAAGAAATTTTTTAAAAATAAAATTAAGGCCATATAAAAAGGTTTCTTTGTTCTATCTATAGTAGAGTAAGTGAATATATCTGGAACATATATCTGTCAGGAGTGTGTGTCAATCTTCAGTTGATAAATAGGTTCTAAAAGAAAATTTACTTTTTGTTGTGAAGAGATTTTCTTGTATCTTTGGATTATCATTAATCTTGTACTAGTAATTATGTTATTTCTTTTGCATATAAGATATTAAAAATCCTTGCTTTCTGGAAAGGAAATTTACTTTCACTTACTATTTTTCAAGCATGTTGCAGAGTCATCAGAATATACTGTTACAGTTTAGTTATTTCAAAGTTGATGTGAATGAACTAAAAAATGTTAATTTATTATTTTAGAAAGCTTTTTTTTTGTAATTTATATTAAAAGAATAATGGTGATAATTGATTTATCTCATTCTTAACAACATATTTAAGAGAAAAATTAAAATTATTCTTTTCAAAAAATTATTAGTGTTTATTTTTTATAACTTGATTCAGGTTTAAAATACTAAAAATTATATTAATTCATTATCTGTTAAATTATTTTTATTTTAAATTATTTAATCTAATTATTAAAGTTATCATAAAATGATGACATATCTAATTATAATATCAAATTATTTTAATAACTAAATAAATTAGTAGCCAATAAGAAATCCAATATAGTTTAGATTTAGTAGTAAATAAATGTAAAATAAGTATTAAGTAGAGTTTGATTCTATGTTTCAATATTTCCTTATCAAAAATTCTTAATTTTGTTTACATAGAAACTTATTTTTTTGTGTGATTAGAAAATATTGAATAAATCATGAAGTAAAATATACTTACATTTTAATTAAAATTTATTTTTATCTTCTAATTCTAATTTATTAAGGGAAAAAAATTTAAGATGGAATTCTTTGTTGTTTGCATTTAATTTTAATAAAAAGCTGTTACAGGCAAATAAAAACAAGTATGATTATTTACAGATGACTGTCTATTTCTTGTCAGCACCTATTTTTTAATGCTTTTGTTATTAAAGGTGCTAACAAGAAATAGAAGTGAAATATTCTCTTGAATTTGTTTTGTTAACACTTAAGAAGAGGTACTTTCTCTCTTGAAGCTGACATAATTCAAAGTACAGTCGTTTGCTTTTGAAAGAAAATCTCCACAGAGGGTTTGCCTGTTTTTTTATACTGAAAATTGAATCTTCTATAAAAAGAGTATTTCTTTATAAATTTAAATTTATAGTAAATAAAAATGGTTCAACATTAAGATGTTTTGTATAAAACAATTTATTAATTCTTAAGCATTTTTCTTTATACTTTGCTAAATTTTAAATATATTTTATCAAATAACCCATATATAATTAATATTAAAGTAAAGATTAAAAAATAAAAAAAAAATATCTAACTGTTCACATTGCTAACTTATTTAAATAATAAAGACTTAAACATTTCAAAACATCTAATATTCTTTTCTTAGAAATTTATTACTGTAGCATTATATTGTTATTTTTTGTGTATATTTTTCTTTTAATACT